TCTCCATGTCATCATCTTTGCCTCATCTTTGATATCACTGCTTCTCTGGGTAGGGTTCTGCTCTCCCATCTTATTCCTTGATGGTCCCAGGGACCTCTGCAAAGTTAATCACTCCCCTCTTTTTGCCACAAAACATCTACCTTTACATTTCCAACCCTCACAATCAGTCCTGATAACAATTATTCACTATTGTATCCCAAGTGACCTGTCCGCATCTCCTTTCATCAGCCCCGCCCAGACAGATTGGATACTACTCAGTGAAGATTCTACCTTCTCCACACCCTCTGGATTAGGTTTCCTCTAGAAATCTTGTAAGCCAGTTTCTTCTTGCCTTTGTAGGCCCCCACACCCATTTTGGGTAGCCAGTGTCCAAGCTGCCCATTCCTGTCTACTTTGTGTATGGAGGGGGTGGGAATGATGCGTGCTGTAAAAATTTGTTCCATCTTTTGAGCTACTGCATCCATAGGTGTAGGTCAAGTTCATCAAATTTTATCATATTACTCTTTTTTTCCCTCTTCTTTCTTCTTCTAGTTGAGCTCTGATCATCCAGTCATTGAAACCAGGTCAAGTGGGTATAACCTGCAAGTGTGGGTGTTCTTATGCATATGCCCTCTCTTCTTATCAGCTGGACACTTCATTCTCCACTCTAGACCTCTATGGTTATGTCACTGACTCTGGGCCCAAGAATCCCCAGGTCTTGCAACACTGCTGGCCAACCATGTCTCCACCCAGGTTCACAGGAGTCTATTGAACATGGTAGGGCTTAGCTGGCAGCTTCATTGCTGTTTTTCCCTCACTTCCCATTATCGGTGAGAAACACGGTCACCAATCAGAGTGTGTATTCCCATTAAGTCTTAGTCTTGGAAGGGGGTTTTCCCTGAGGTGACCCAACCACTTGCCTTGATGTTTCCTGGGTGAGCAACTTGCTTGTTCTTGTAGTAATCATTTGGGCTTCCTATCTTGTTTTGTATTTTTCTGGTTGGTCTTTCTTTCAAGCAGTTTCTTCTGTTCTTCTAGCTACTCCAGGTAGCTTGTCCTTTCAAGTGGAAATTGATGGTCTGCTTGTCCTTTCAAGTGGAAATTTCCCAACTCAGAAAATTCTGGATTGGGTTCAGAATTCCATCTATAGTCTTATGTAATGTAGAAGCTCTGCAGGAAGCCTCCTTCACTGGCCCCCCCGTTTTAGGTATTCTAATCAGTTATAGGCAGAACACTGACTTTCAAGCTTTCTGTGGTGGTATTTATGGCTATTCCTCTCTCTCCCTCTCAAGTATTTATTTCATAATGGTATGCTAGGGAAACCAAGATTCAAAAGACAGCCAAGCATCTTAACATTATTTTCCCCCTTTTGCCCATTATAACCATGTCTCAATCACTGTATCCCAGAGTCCTGTTGTTCCAAGGTTGTACATACATCATTAATTACCTCTGTCTCACTTAGGTCAGGCAAATCTGCCTAAATTGTTTTCCCATCCACTTTGTTCTTCCATTCCCCTCTCCCTTTTTGTGTTTTGCCCACTTCCCTAGCA